ATAAAATACGTTAATAATATAATAAAATAAATTAAATATATTAAATAAATCTGTTAAATAAATAATAATATATATTGAAATATATATAAATATATACAAATAATATATATATTTATATATATATAAAATTTAACATCTCAGTGTTTTGATACTGTAGGGATGCTTCAAGATCAGGGAGTGACTGGGAAATCCTTTTCTAAGCAAATAGGCTATACTTAAGAAAAATGCCTTCTGACTGTATCTGGCTGTGGTGTTTAGTGGGGCTTTTTCTTACAGGCTTTGGTTTTACTTTTCATTTTGCCATTGGAAGTCTGAAATCCACTTTCAGAACTGCAGCTTTAGGTGAGTGAAGAAGAAAATTTCAGCCACGAATCTTTAGTAAGTATTACAAGTTCTTCTATATACCAAACTAAGGGACAGTTTTTATTCTTTTTTTTTCCTTTTGTTTTTGGTTTTGCAAAAGCTCTTAACAGTGCCAGGAGCATGGGAAATAAGTCACAGAAAATGCCATTGATACTCCCACTAACACCTATTCTGTAATTTTTGTGTGCACATTATGGAAAATTGGTCTTAAGTTTTCCCATTTGTCTAGTTTCCAGACAGAGGAGGAGGGAAAAAAGGCTTTGCAGTGATAGGAGGGAAAAGATAATGAAGTTGAGCAGTTCAGTTCAATCTGATCCCTGTTAGTTTTGGAACTTTCAGTGAATCCATTAAATAAATTGCTTGAGACACTGGAAGGAAAATTGTACATCAACATCTGAGTACTAATGATTTGTGAGATTTACTCTAAAACACTATCAATGCCATCCTTTTATATAAATTACTTTAAAGCAAAGAGTGTTTTTTTTTTACATTAAATGGTTTGTACTAAAAAACTGGTAGGTAATCTTGAGAGTAAGAAAAAGGAGCATAATTAAAAAAAAAAATGGGGTTAAAGTTTGTGGGCCAGGTTTGGCAAGTTGTGAAGTTCCAGTGTTGCAGTGGATGTGGAGACAGCAAAGCTGACTGAAGTCATTGCAGCAAAAATACACATGGAAGGTTGCAAACCAAACCAGCAAGTCCAGCCCTGAACCAGAACAAGGCTGAGTTTGAGAAATAAAGAGAGGGTCAAACCAGAAATTGTGTGGTCTGAAAGTGGAGAGAGCAAGAATGAGGTGGAGGGGGTAGGATTAAAATAAATTATATCAAAAGGACCAATTGGTCCAGATGTCTCAAGACCACTTGGAACATGTTGCTTGGGCTAACTTCTGCTGGGCTCTTGTTCCAGCATAAAGCAAGAGCTGGAAGACAATGGAAATGCAGATAACAAGTGACATGGAGTTCTCCCCTCCCCTGCTCCCAAGGACAGCAGGATGCAGGAGTGGCAGCTGGGATCAGGAGTCAGTGAGAGGAGCATGGCCATCTGCAATCACCAGCACCACTGGGCCAGACCCTTCCCCAGGGAGCTGGAACCAGTTGTGGCCATGGCCAAGGAGTGCAACAGGGCTAGAGTTATACCATGTGCCTGAGAGCCACAAGGAGACTTAAAGGCTGCTTTTCTCCATTATCTCCCTCAATTCAATTTCTTCTCCACAAATGAGAATTAATATTTTCTTGGCAGATCCTTCCTAATTCCTTGACTCAACCTGCCAGGCATCAGAGAGAATGTGTGGCATCATGGAGAAAAGGGAAATTAATCCTGAAATGCATCTCATCCCAGGGTACTGGGTTACTTTTTTTTCCCAGCTGTCACTGGGGATCCATCTCTCCCTAATGCACCCTCTTTAAATCACACAGTTGACTGCATAGTAACAACCAACTTTCTATTTTTCTCTTAGGGAGTCACAAAATAATGCCATGTCTGGAGGATCAGGCAGTGACCCCAGAGCAGAGCTGGAGAATTTGCCTTGAGTGTTTAGAAAATCTTCTCTAAAGAATGCAATGAATGCATAAATGATGAATGAATAAATGATGCAATGAATTCAGAGTAAATTATAACTGGTTTCCTTTTGTCAGCTGCTAGACTCACAGTGATTCCAGAATGAAGTTATTTCACGTGCTTCAAGAAGTCAGACTGTTCCCAGCAGTAACCTGAGACCCAAAATTTTGCTCAATGAAAAATACTCGGTGCTCAGGCAGAATCAGTGCAGGCAGATATTGGGTAATTCTGCAATGAATGCCAAGGGACATTTTTCATGTTTGTGTTGGAAATGATCCAACTTTAAAATTTTTATAGTAACTTTAATAATGGGTTTGTTCACCTTTGCCAAAGGGGAATTAAGGCTTCTCTTTAAAAGACTGTTCACTGAAGGTTTGAGTTTTAATGGGTGAGGCCTGATGGGCTTCAATCAACAAAAAGATTCCTAGAACTCTGAGTGTTTAACATCTACAGATTGGGAGTAGCCAGAAGATACAGAAGAGACAAACAGACATTAAAAAACATAACTCCCTGGGGCAGTCAGAAACAGCTGGTCTGGGAAAAGGTTTATAAGAAAACCAAAGAATGAAGGCCAAATTAGCATAGAAGGCAAAGGGATCAATAACTAATAGGAGACTGAATACTAAGAATTGTGTAATATAGAATCAATGAATAAGAATCAGATTAATAAATTAATTAACTATGATTAAATGAATAAGATGATTAAATGAAGAAGAATTTTACTCTAATTCCATGCCCATCCCTCTGAAGAGCACGACTGAGCACCAGATGTGTGCAGCAGACTTTCTCCTGGCCTGATTTCAAGATGGGATCTTAGAAAGGGACCTGTCCCAGCGCTGCTGTTACTTTGGGGTATTTATTTGGGCTGGGCTGGGGGGAGATGTGTACCTTTATATCAGCACATCCACCTCTGTTAGGGGACTCATCCTGATCCCAGCAGGATTTGGTTCCCTTGAGCAGAAGCAACAGCTTGTTGCAGCACACCTACTATTGCAATAAGGACAAAACCCAGCTTTTTTCATACTGCAAAGCAAATTCTCTGCAGGAATCTCTGGGGTTGCTCATGTCAGACGCTGACACGGTGCTGAATCTCCAACCCACAGCCTGCTCCTGCTGTAGAGCTACAGCCCTCTGGTGGCACCAAATCACTTATTTTGTGGAGAGCTGCATAATATTATAGGGGAAAACTCACCTTTGGGCTCTGACCAGTAACCTGGTGTTGCCTGGAGGGGTAAGAGCATCTCTGGGGGAAGAGTCCAAGAAGCAGGGTGCAAGTCAGCATCCATCTGCAATGCACTACATAGACAAGACCTCCCAGATAAAAATTTCTAGAGCAAATTCAGTGACTGAGAGAAAGGATACTTAAGAAGTGGGAGGGTGTTTACCTCACAGGACTAGGAGAAACCTTAGAAATCATTGTCCTGAAAAAATTATTGGTTAGTAATGAACCCCTTAATAGTGTTCTGACAGTCAGCAATAAACTCTTGTCTCTCCTAAAGGAGAGTGAATGAAACATCCCTTAGTCCTGGGTAGTGTTTGTTTAGCTTGATATTTAAAGTGTCCCAATGACTGAGATCTTGTGATATTTTATTCCCTGTACTTCATTAGAGGAACAATTAGCCTATTTGTCTTCTATCTCATTCCTAGCTTATATTGCACAGTTTAAAGTCATTATCCCTTCACCTATTTACTATGATCATGGAAAAGGAAAAAACACACAAGACCTTTTTTTTTTTTTTCACTGTGCTGGTCTCTTTCATATTTGAATACATGTTCTTTGAGTTTTCCTTAAAGCTAATCAGCACAAATTCATTTCATCTTTCTGATCAATCATATTCACAAAAAGGTTCTGCTTTGAATGCCTTCACAGCAGTTTTTTCAGACAGGACATGGCTCTTGAGCATCAGTTTCCAAAATGAAGAATAACCTCAATTTCCACCCATGAGATCTCAGCATGAAACACTTGTGACACATTTCATTATCACGCCCTCTCTGAAGTTTTGTTCTGGACTAGAGGGACAGGAAACCCTGGGCTATAGCATCAGGCTCTGAATAAAGCAAGAATAACTTGAAAAGGCAGCAAGGGTGAATGGAGTGCCTCAGCTGGGCTGTACTTGTAGATGAGATCGTTTTATAGCAGCTGAATAGTTGTACCAACAAGCTGTCATATTATTGCTGAGAAAACACTGAGCTTGGAGGATTAATTTGAAAACTCTGAGCACACAGCCTGGGGGGATCTATTGGACTCTTACCCTGTCTTAACCCACCAGTGTAGAAAAGGTTTTTGCCATGAGAAAAGAAATGGAACTGGAAGTCCCCAGCACAGGGAGGATACAGGAGCCCCAAGGTTGCCCCACAGCAATGGCCAGCAAAATGTGGCCAACCACAGCTGGGACTGGATGAGTTCTTATCAGAAAGATACGGTTCCTTTGGATTTTGGCATTTTTTAATGCATTTTATGAATTTTTATTTAGTTTGAGAAACTTGTGTTGACTTAGGCAAGCAGTAACGACTACAAGCAGCTCTTGGCATTGCCAAAATATACTCAAGTTGTGCATAAGGGATGTAGCCAAGATAGTTTGCAAAGTGGTTTATAACAATACAAGCAATTAAAGGAGAAACAAATCACCCTCTAGTACCAGAGATTTATTGAGCTGTGCAGCAGTAGGTAAACACCCACTCTGGGGTGATGGTGATGTATCATATACTGCATTTACACAGCAAAGAACCAGCCTTCAGATTTTGTTGTTGGAAGGAGTCACACATAACCTGGGGACAAAGAGGGAAAGTGCAAATTTTTCTCTGTGTTCCCTCTTGTTTATACTGCAGGCATTAGGGTGAAAAGTGTTCTTTATATAAATGTTCTTCAATACACACTCATTGTTTTAAATCTAAAAAGGTTTCAAGCAGTTGGTTAGGTGTTTCATTAATGTCTATACAGATAATCTTTCAGTCTTTGGGCCATCTCTAAACAGGAATGAGTGTACAAGATCCCTGGGTAGGTAATTCACCTTTGTGGTCCATTAGATGAGCCAAATAATTCAGTGCATAACAGAAGCAGATTGATTTTTCTGGGGTGGTTTTGATTCTTTGATTTTGAAAATAGCAACAGCTGCAGTCTGCTCCAAACTTTTAGGTTTTCCTTTTAGGCTCTCTTACTCTGATTTGCTGCATTTGTATTCAGTTTTGGGCTCCTTGCTCACAAGAAGGACGTGGAGGGTCTGCAGCACAGTCTGATGAGGAGGACCTGAGGGAGCAAGGAGTGTTTAGCCTGCAGAAAAGGAGGCCTGTGGAAAACCTTATCTCTCTCTACAACAATATGAAAGGAGGCTGTTGTGAGGTGGGGTGTGGCTCTTCTCCTGAGTAACAAGTATGAGAGGAAATGGCCTTAAGTTGTGCTAGGGGAGGGCTAGATTGGATATCAAGAAAAAAAAATTTAGCCAGAAGGGTTATCAAACATTGGCACACGCTTCCCAGAAAAGTGGTGGAATCACCATACCTGGAAACGTTCAAAAATTTGTGGATGTGACACCTGGGGACATGGTTTAGTGGTGAACATGGCAGTGCTGGGTTCTTAGAGGTCTTTTCCAGACTTAACAATTCCATAATTTCTGTGATTTATGTGTTCACAAGCTGTCACCAAACCCAGATTTTCCCAGTAGAAGGCATGGAACAATTTTCAATAACAAAACCTGGGACTGCAAAGGTTCCTCTGCAGACAGACCACTCAGTTTAGGGACATGGTGAGGCCCTGAAAAGCCTATCCTTTTACTACCTAAGGACTTCAGGTCAGCTTGGACTCAGTGCTTCTTCCAGCCACCGAGAAAGAGATGGGATAGCACTTCCATGGGCTTTTATTTTACTGAAAGGCTGTCTAAAGCCATAAAAACTCTTGCCATGAAAATACACCGCCCACAATCCAGCAGAATCTACTTTCTGATCTCTTCTGGAAGACTAACTTTGTTAAAAGCTCAGCTGCATTGTTGGAGTAAGCAGGCTGGTGCAGCCAAAGAGCTGCAAATGCCGATGTGTTTGTGCAGCATGGAGGCCAGTGGTTTCACGTTCACTGGTTCATAAAGATCCCAGACATTTCTGGGAGATCTGTCTCTGTTTTGCTGTTTATATAGTTTGGAAGCAGACTGTGGAGCTGGACAGTCTGTGTGCACAGCCTAATTTAATTTTGTGAGAAATCATTTGATATTTCCTCATGGCACTTCCAAATAATCTGAAGCAGAATAAGAAATATGGAGGAAATGTCTAATGATTTTCCCCCTTTAATTCAGATTTAGTAGCAGAGAACCCAGACTTTAGAGTCACCTGAGCTCCAGCTGCTTTCTTCACTTCTGTACTTGCCAGCAGTGTCTTGAGCTCTGCTGAGCTTCCAAATACATGTGATTTAAATATTCATTTAAGGTATGACCATTAAAAAGGGAAAATGACTTTTATATGAATTATTAACAGACATCTCAAAATTGGAGTATCTGGGTGTTGGGCTTTTTGTCTGGGCAAGTAGATTAGGGAAGAACCGGTCCAAGAAATGGGATTTTTCAAAATGAAAGACAGGAAAAAAAATTACTAGAGGAGATGCATTGAGGGGAAATTAAAGCCTCTCAGGGAATGGCAGCACACACAGACTCCATCACAGTGGAAGTAAAGGAAGAATGGTGGCTCTCCATGGGATAATATGGAAAGTCCACCATGGGATGGCATGGCTTTTGGCTACCCCCAAAGAAAGTGGCTTGCCAAAGAGGCTTTATTAAGCCTGGGGTTTTAGCTCCTCTGCTGCTTGGGTGCTTCTCATGCCAGGTAGAATTAACCTGCAGAAAGGCCTGACATGAAGCCTGAAGTGAGAACCAAACGCCCAAATCTTGCCCATGGAGCTGGAGTAATATTTAATTTTTATATACTATCCCGTTATTCTAAACAATCACAAAACTCAAACAATAATAAAAAAAATTAAAAAATAAACAAAAATTAAAAAAACTCAAACAACAGAAATCAAGGCCTGCCATCCACTCACACCAAAATCCTGTCTCAGCAGAAGGCCTCTGTGCACAGCTCTGGGGACACCCCCGTGGGACAAAGCTTTCCCCCCAGCACAGCCATGAAAGGCTTTGAGCTCAGCCTCCAAAACTGCAAAGCACTTGTTTTGTTTTCCACGGATAATGCTTTAATCCAGCGGGTGAAAGCTGGACGTTGCTCTCTTTTATCCTGGCTGTACACAATTGCAGTGCTGGAAAAGAAAAGCCCCTGGCCCTTCTGTGCCCGCTGCTCCTCCGAACTGCTGACGCCTGGATGGGCAGCTCCAAGGCGGGGCCATTGGGATTTATTTAGTTCACCGCCGCAGACGCTGCCTTTAGTGCCACAAACCACCCTGGAGACCAGCCCTAATCGTCTGGGGGTGTGATTATGTTCAGCTCTTCCTCCCCAAAGCCCCCAGACACAATTCAGATCCAAACTGGAGAGACAGGCAGGCACACAAGAGGGGACCCCGGCACCGCACAGCCCCTCTGAAGCCATGTACAGGAGCAGCTTCCTGCGCGAGGTACGCAAGGAGAAGTACGAGCGCTCGGATGCCTACGATGAGCTGCGAGGCTCCCCGGAATTCGACAGCTTGGCCCAAGCCCGGGGCTTGGAGAACCTGCAGGAGCTCAACGAGCGCTTCGCCAGCTACATCAACCGGGCGCGTGTGCTGGAGCAGCGCAACAGCATCCTGCGCAAGCAGCTGGAGACCTTCCAGCGCATGGATGAGCTGGTGGGCTTGGACGAGGCCTTCGCTGGGCAGATCGAGTTCAACCGCCAGCGAATGCGGGAGCTGGCTTCTGACAGAGCCAAGCTGGAGCGGGAGGAGAAGGACGCCCAACGCATGCTCGACGAGTACCGCAACAAGTAAGGTTTACCATCCGTGGAAGATGGGTGGTGTCGTTTCCACAGGGAGTCTCTGTAATCAGGATGGGTTCGGTGTCACCAGCTCCTGCTTGTGCCTGGGTGATGCCTCTCCAGGTGTATCAGGCTTGTCAGGAGGGCTGGCATGAAAGCCCATGGAGAAAAGTAAGGTATCAGGAGTTAGGGAGCTGCAGCTCTGCCTTTTGTGGTGTCACTGCTCCATCATAGATGGGAAAATGCCCTCCCCATTCCACAGCAGCAGCCCTGGCACACGCTGGCTGCTGTTGTTCATTAGCCTTAGGAGAGCTGTGCTCTGAGCTGCAAAGGGGAAGAAACCCATTGGACTACCAGGTGTCTCAAAGCAAGCCTTGTGTCTGAGCAGCCCAGAGTTCCACCATGCCAGACATCTCCTGCCATGTGCAGGATGCCTCTGAGAAGCTCTTTCTTACAGCCACTATGAAGGGCCAGTCTGCGCCAGCCACATCTGTGATGTGACATGAAAATAAAGGTGATGCGGTTTTTCCCTGGTGTGTGAAATTTGCCCTCCTCTTCTTCCTTGCATTCTGTATTTCCATCTCATGCCACTAAAACAGTAAGACCAGGCTTCCCCTAACTGCACCTCTTTAGCATCTGTGGCACCATAAATCAAAATGCAGGAGCCTCAGATGCTGATGGAGATGAGTTCCTTCCCTCCAGCAACAGGCAATTTTGGTCACGTGGCTTAATTACACAAGAGTTGGTAAACATTGCTTATGAAAGGGCTGCTCACGGGACAAAAGGATCTAATCCTGCTGTTTCTTATTGGTCAGGGATTTTTTTTTTACCCCCCAAATGTCTGTCTGGCTACTTCACCCATGAGAATTTGCACCCTGCCAAATGAGCAGCCACGTGGGGCTGTGAGCTACAGCACACCTATGGAAGTGCCAAGCCCTGATCTCTCTTTCTCATCTGAGAGGAGAGAGCAGCCCATCCAGGTGCACTGAGGATTATTGCTGCCAGTGGTCAGATGTCCACAGTGTCCTGACTCAGTCTGGGTAATAAGCACCTGATTAGGCAGGATTGTATTCCAATATTTATGAGCAGGAAATTCAACTATGAGTCAATGCTGTAATTTAACTCTGAACTTGACTCTGGAGCTTGCTCACGTGTTTTAATTACATGGTGTCCATGAGTATTTGACTAAACTCAGTACTTAATTTTCTAACTGCATATTAGTTAAAAATCTGTGTGAATACAGGATACCTCTGTGTGAGTACAGCATTGGTAATGTGACACAAAGTAATTTACTTTTATTAGAGCTGCTTTATACAAACTGCAAATAGGCAGGGAGTAATACAGGACATTGAAAAATCCAGAGGAGGAGACAACACTCAGAAAAGGAAAGAAAGATGCTAAAGGGGTAGTTAGTGGCTTACCAGAAAAAAAGGGATGGTACTTTGTTTTACAATCCTGGAATGCTCATTCATTACAGCAGCTGTAAACAAACATAAGAAGGAAACTTTGGTTATCTCCAAGCCAAAAATTGAAATCTAAAAATTAAAGATACACAGGGCCGTGACAATGGAAGGGCAGTGGCTGCTTTTTAACCAAATTGCACCAGTTGGTTTATATCAAGAAGTGAATTTTGTTGGGTTTTTTTTCTTGGGAGCTGCTGAATTTGACTAGAAGACAGACGTGAAAATTTCTTCAGTGTCTGAAAAACTTGGTCTGGTTTTAAGCTGCAGGTTTTAAAACAAGGCCAGTGCCCTGGTAAGTTATACCCTGACCTCCTGTTGGCTCTGATTTCAGCTGCTGAAAGTTATAAATAAAGCTCCCCAAACAAAATATGGGAGGAATAATCTTCTGTGCTCTATTAGGGGCTGCTGAAACCAGAACCATTCCTGTGCTGAAGACTTACTCTCCTCCCTGAGTCTGCATTCTGTTGGCAACAGGCACTGTGGGTTTCCTGCTTCATCTTGAACCATAAAGCTTTTGGTGCACTAGGATGAAAAAAATCTCTTAGAGGGGAGCATTGTGAATCAATTAATTGACAAATGTCTGTGTCCTTCAGGAAGGCAAGGAATTTTGACACTTAGAACCCATTCTTTCACTCACCTTCACAACTGGAGAAGTAGATTTATATCTAAGTAAACCTCTTAAGCTACATTTATATAAGTAGGCCTTTAAAATTTGGATTTATATAGAGTAGGGCCTAAGAGTACAGGTCTGTACAATTAAGTGTTCATATACCATAAAAAAATAGAACTTACATTAAAATTTATTTTAAATCCTCTATGGTCACATTCATAGCTTTTCTCATTAACATAAACAGTTCAGCCTCTGTATCAGGAGAGAATTCTTTCTCTTGAAGTTGCAAAAAAAAAAAAATCAATCAATGCTGGGAATAGTTTGGCTGCATCTCATCTCATAAAAAAACTAATTATGCTACTTTTATTGACCATCACTGTTATGGCAACATTGCCTCTGGCTGTGGGAAAGGACTGTATTTCCCTCTCCATGATATTGGGAAAGATGCTGGAATCCAGATTTCAGTGGCCTTGACTTCAGAAATTAAAATTGCTAATCAATTGTTTCATTAAAAAATTTGTGAACTGCTAATCCAGCGGATTTTGAACGTGCAATACGATTCCCTGGAAGTTGTTGGACACAGTAATTGGCACAGTGCTCCTCAAGATGAGCTGCACGGTGATGCTCTGATGAGCTAACACCCAACAAGTGTGAGAAAACAAAAGGAAGTGGGGAAACACGATAGCTAGGGTATGGGGACTGGCAAAGCTGCCTTCCAGCCCTGTCTGCAGCAGGGATTGTCTCAGCACTGCTGCTGCTTCTCTGGGGATAGGAAGGACTTTATCCTGCTGCAGCTGAGGTGAGGAGCATTTGCCTGCTCTCCACACTCTCCACAAACTGCCAGGACCTTGTCCTGTGGCTGTCAGCTGCTCAGCAGTGGCTTCTTGATAACACAGGTGGAATCTGTTGGTAAATCAGCAGAGCACAGCCCTCTTGGGCTCATCTGAGCACTCAGGGTGTGATGCTGAATGACAACTGTCAGTGGCCTGCCCATCATCCTTGTAGGAGCTCTGTTTCACAGTCTGTGCTGTCCTTGGCACCCAAATTGCTGCTGTCTGTTGAGAGAAGGTCAGTGAAGTGCATCAGGGAAAGGAAACATGACAAAGGCAGTAGCCAAGAGGAGCAAGAGTTCAGTAGGATTCAACAGAGAGGCACCATTTTTCTCCAGATAAAAGGCTCAGGTTTGACACCAAATTGAGCATCTGGCCATTGTGCATTGCTGGGGTGGATTGTTACTGTCTCCTCTTTGGAGGGGAGCAAGCCCTTGCACTGCAGCAGAGGCAGGGTCAAAAAAAAATGAGGTGATGGAAATCTTTAATCCTCTGATCTGCTTTCTTTGAGGCTGGCAGCTCCATCCCCTCCATTTCCTTTCCCTTATGCAAAAAAAGCCCTAAACCTGTTAACATCCCTTTTCTTTCAACACTCCAAAAACATTTGTAGCTGACCTAAAGCAACCTGATTAGGTGAGAAGGTTGGTGTTCTGTTGGTTTTTTTTGTTTTTGTTTTTTTTAATGAAGCAAATTGACTTCATGGCTCTTAAGCTCCAGGAAAGTCTGACCAGCAACCATCTAATAAAACAATTTTTGGACATGTCTATCTAATTACCAAACATCAAAATCAACTTTGTAGCATAACGGGGCTGTGACCTGTCAGCCATTGCACGTACAGATACATTTCAGCAGGCACAGGGGCATCCTGAGGTCTCTGAAGCATTTCAAAGGGGTTGATAGCACTTTTGCACTGATCTTCTGGAGAAGATTGAACATCACTTGAAAGAAATTCTCCTTCAAAGGATAATCACACAGTATTAACTCTCTCAAGCTGCCAGGTGGATTTATGGCTGTGTGGCACTGCACATATTTGGGTTATTTGAGAATGAAGGAAAATGTAGCTGAATATTTTAGTCATTGAAAGCTATTTTGAGTGAGGATCTAGCAATGAGAGAGATCTGAATTACATTAGGGCTGAGGTTTGCACACTGAATCCATAGATGGCTTTTATTGTAACTGTGTGTTTGATTTTCACAGGATTTGCTTCATTCTTGCTCAGCTGTCAGAAACCATCTAAGTTAGGAAAGTGTTTACTGCCAGCTGCACACAAAATAAATTTAAATAGATAGAAAACTGTTTGGAGGTTAGCTGCTTGGTAAAACAGCTTAAAACAAAGGCAGTCTCACTTTGAAGCTGAAAAATATTATATTCTTGGAAGTGAAACTGGTGTTAGTACTGTATGGCAAAAAAGGACATTGTTTTAGTCTTTTCAGCAATTTGTTAGAGTGATAATGAAATAAAACCTTGCCATTTTAATTTGGTTCTTTGCTCCTCATGTAAGAATTGAAAATAGATCAGTGACCAACCCTGCTAATATTATGGGATTTCAGAAGAAGTGATAAAATCAGAGACCAGGTTAAATCCATTTCCTTGCTCTGCCAAGTTCCTCCTTTGCTGTCCTGGTCAGTTTTTGAGTGACATCATCCACTCAGCTTTCCAGGATGTGTTGGAAGACATGAGAATAACATTGGTTGTTTGTCCTTCAGGAGATGGAAAGGAAGAACTGAGGCTGACATGATCATTGTAACTTGATCCTTGATGTGTTCAGTCCAGGAGCTGCCAAGTTCCCTGCTGACTGGAGCAAATCCCTTTGATGTCAGCAGCACATCTGGGCTGGATCAATGATTTCAGAAGACAGACAGGGACTCATGTTCAGTTCTGAATTTTGGCTTGTGTTGGTGTCCATTGCTTTTACTGCAAATGACAGTCCCTTTCCACCAGAGCTGATTTGTCACCCACCAGAGTGTTTCTTGTAGAAAGTAAGACAATGATGGCTTTTTTATATCTCTGTACCTCTATTTTTTTAGGGAAAGTAAAGTGTTAAATTCAAAGGGTTAAGACTGTATTTCTGCAGCTGTTGGAGCTTGATAAGCCACTTGTTCAGTACTGATGGCAAAGTTTCATTGCCTTGTATTACTAAGTTGCTTCTGGCTGGTTGTTTTTCAGGGGCTTTTTGTTCCTTTGTTTTTTAATGGGGTCTCATTAAACCACATCTACCGTTAAACATTTCATGTGAGGTTTACTTAAGGAAGGGAATTAATTA